GACAAAATTCAATACTCTTTTATGGTAAAAAAAAAAAAAATTCAGTAAACTAGGAATAGAAGAGAACTTTCTCAACATGATAAAGGCCATATATGAAAAACAGAATTTTATTTTCTCATAGTTCTGGAGGCTAGAAATCTGAGATCAAGGTGTCACAGAGTTGGTAACCTCTGTGGGCCATGAGGGAAGGATCTGTTCCAGGTCCCTCTCCTTGGCTTGTAGTAGGTTATCATCTCCCAGTGTCTTTGCTTTGTCTTCCCTCTGAGTGTGTCTGTGTCCACATTACCTTTTCTTGTAAGAACATTAGCATTAGGGCCACCCTAATGACCACATTTTAATTTATTTACCTCTTTAAAGACTCTGTCTGAATATAGTCACACTCTGGGATTTTAGGGGTTAGGACTTCAACATTTGAATTTTTTTTTTTTGAGGGAGTGACATAATTCGGCCCATAACAGAAATACACAAATTCAGCATAGTTGCAGGATATGAAATCAACACACAAAAATCAGATGTATTGTTATATACTTGCAATGATCTGTCTAAAAAGGAAATTTAAAAACAATTACATTTACAACAGCATCAAAAAGAATAAAGTTAGAGAAAATAAAATTAATAATCAGCATAATTTGGGATAGTTACCTTTAAGCAGGAATCTGAGGGCAACAGGTAGAGACATGAAGGAGGATTTTAACTATTGGTAATGGTCTATATCTTAGACTGAATGGTGGATACATGGGTACTCCTTCTGTTGTTCTCTATATAACCTACAAACTTTTCTACTATTAGTAATGTCAAATGGTTTAAGACAATAAAAAATTCTTAAGCTTTAAAAAATATATATTTAGAAATAATTTAACCAAGGAGGCAAAAGACTTGTACACTGAAAACTTCAAAACATTGCTCAGAGAAATTAAAGACCTAAATAATTGGAAAGACATCCATGTTCATAGATTAGAAGATTTAATATTGTTAAAATCTGGGATTAAATTACAACTGTTACATAGAAAATGAAGTCTCTGACAAAACAAGATACTCTTCAATTCCATAGAAAATTAAAAGTTCACATGTATAAAATAATCATAGTTTACCATGTGACTCAGCTGTGAATAGCTTAATTTTTAGAAAATAATAGCTTTACTGAGATATAATTCACATACCATAAAATTCACCACTTAAAAGTGTACAAGTCAATGTATTTGAATATATTCACCAAGTCGTGCAGCCCTTACCACAGTCAAATTTTAGAACATTTTCATCATTCTGAAAAGAAACCCTGTGCCCATTAGCAGTCACCCCCCATTTTCCTCTCACCTTTTGCTCCAGGCACCCACTAATCTACGTTTAGTCACCATAAATGTGCCTATTATGGATATTTCATATAAATGGAATCATTCAATACGTAGTGTTTTGTGGCTGGCTTCCTTCCCTTAGCATAAGCTAGTTTTCACGATTTCGTCCGTGTTGTAGCATGTACAGTACTTCATTTCTTTTTATTGCTAATAGTCCATTATATGGATAACACCACATTTTATTTATCCATTCATCAGTTCAGGGACATATGGATTGTTTCTACTTTTTGGCTATCATGAATAATGCTGCTATGAGCATTCATGTACAAGTTCTTGTGTGGACATAATCTTGTCGTTTCTATTAGGTATACATGTACCTAAGAGTAGAATTACTGGGTCATAGGGTAAATCTATGTTTAACTTTTTGAGGAACTGCCAGACTGTTCTCCAAGGTAACTGCACCATTTTACATTTCTTGCAACAATGAATAAGGGTCTTAGTTTCTCTACATCTTTGCCAATGCTTGTTATTGTTATTTTCTGTCTTTTTTGCTTATAGCTATCTGTAGTGGTTGAGTGATGACTCCCAAAATGATATGTTTGCAGCCTAACTCTTGGAACCTGTGAATGTGACCTTATTTGGAAAAAGGGTCTTTGCAGGTGGAATTAAGTTAAGAATCTTGAGATGAGATCATCCTGGATTTCTTGGGTGGGCCCTAAATCCAAGGACAAATGTCCTTTTAAGATACAGAAGAGGAGAAGGCCATGTGAAGACGGAAGCAGAGGTTGGAGTTATGTAGGCAAAAGCCAAGGAACACTTGGAGATACCAGAAACTGCAAGAGGCAAGGAGAGATTCTCCTTTTAGAGCCGTTGGAAGGAACGTGGCCGTGCTGACGCCTTGATTTCAGATTTCTGGCCACTAGGACTGTAAGAATATAAATTCCTTTTGTTTTAAGCCACGAAGTTAGTGGTAATTTGTTAGAGCAGCTCTAGGAAACTAATACACCATCCTAGTGGTATCTCATTATGGTTTTGATTTGCATTTCCCTAATGACCAGTGATATTGAAAATCTATTCATGTGCTTATTGGCCATTTGTATATCTTCTTTGGAGAAGTATCTGTTCAGATCCTTTACCGTTTTTAAAATTGGGTTATTTATCTTTTTATTATTGAGTTGTACAAGTTCTTTATATATTCTACATGCAAGTCCCTTATCAGAAAGATGATTCATAAAAATTTTTACCCATTCTGTGGGTTGTCTTTTCACTTTCTTGATGAAGTCATTTAAAGCAGAAAAGACTTTCATTTTGATGAAATCCAGTTTATCTTTTTTTTTGTTGTGCTTTTGATGTCACATGTAATATATCATTGCCTAATCTAAAGTTGTGAAGATTTATGCCTTAGATTCTTCTAAGAGTTTTATAGTTTTTAGCTCTTACATCTAGGTCTGTGATCCATTTGGAGTTAGTTTTTTTCTATGATGTGAGGTAGTGGTCCAAGTTCATTCTTTTGCATGTGGATATCCAGTTGTCTGTGAACAGCTTTTACCTATGAAGGGAACACCGGTATTGATCTAGCTACCAATATAACTATAACTGGGCGGATGGAGGGGTGGAGGGCAAGGGGGATGGGCAGGAAGGGGGCGAGCCGAGTGAGTGGTAGGGGCCCGGTAAGAGAGAGAGCTGACTCATCCTCTTCAACAGAGGCAAGTCAGAAATAAAGCCTAAAGTAGAAGTCAAGGAGTAGGTATATAAACATGTTACTTAGAAACGTGGAGGTGAATAACAAAAGAGGTGAAAGTGGTTGCCTCTGATTGATTGAAATGGGCAGGCAGGGGATGTGGCAGAGATTGCCAGTTTTCATAACAGCTTCAAAAATTTGTAATTACTGTGCATAATTTGATAAAAAATTAAAAGTTAAAAAAAGGACAAGCAAACCAACACATGGACAAAGAACACTGTACTGTGGTTACCAGGGGCAGTGGGGGTGGGGGTGGGCACAAGGGGTGAAGGGAGACATGTATATGGTGATGGACAAACAAAAATGTACAACCCAAAATTTCACAATGTTAAAAACTATTAAAACATCAATAAAAAAAAAGGACAAGCAATAATAGGGAGATTCTGAATGAAAGTCAGCCCTATTAGATATTAAAATTTATCATATAGTTACAGTAATTAAAATTGTGCTCTAGTGGCATACAGATGGACAGAAGGATCAATGGAACAGAATGTGAAATTCAGAAATTGATTCAGATGCTTAGAAGAATTAATGTGTGATAAAGCTGGTATTTTAAATCAGTGGGAAAAGACATTCATCTAAGCATGCTGGAATAAGTGGATAGCCGTTCAGGAAAAACATCAAGTTGGATCCACACTTTACACCCACTTTGATCCGGGAGAGTCAAAGACTTAAGTAAAATAAAATCTTCAGAGTACTAGGAGGAAAAGAACACGCCTAACAAAAACCAGGGAAGGAGTGAAAGGGTGGTGGGAAGAGGCATGAGTGCACTTCCCTCCTCTCTGTGGCGGGAGCGGGAGAGGTGCGGGCGGGGGCTTCCCTCCACCCCTGGCAGGGCGTGGGACATGTCCAGAACAGAAGCTCACACTTTTAGAAATCAAGTTTAAAACCTCAGCGTTTTCACCATCTCTTTTCTTAACCTTAGAGGTGTATTTTAGGAAATAATATCTTAAGATAAAGGAAACATTTATGTTCTATTCCTAATAGCCACATAATTTGAAAAGTTTGCATTAAAATATGCAGAAGCGTTTCTCTTTTGTTAAATACAAGTTAAATGGAATGTTTTTTGTTACAAGTAACTGTGTACTGTGATACCTTTTAAATAAAAATTTTGTTTTGACTACATATGCACCAACAATCGATGCTTCCCTAACATTTAAAATGGTTATTTCTGGATGGTAGGATTCTTTTCTTTTTTTACTTTCGTTGTGATTTTCTGCACTGCATTATTCTTATAATAACCTTCTATCATTTTTATAGAAACAATAAAAATTCAAAATATAAAATATATAATCCTGTTAAAGAGCAAAGAATCCATATTTAAATCCTTCCATCATGGATTATAGTTTAGAATACCTTTCTCGTCCTGGCACCAAACAGTAATTCATCCTTCTGTACGGAGTGATTAGGGGGAACAAGACTGGGAAAATGGAGCCTCGCCACCAGGATGGAGGGCGGTTCTTAGCCGACTGAGCCAGATTGAGGAGCCTTAGAGGAGCACGCAGGGTGCGGGAGTGAGGGCTTTCAAGTAGCAGACGTAATGTTCTTAGTAACTTTTAATGGCTGGAAGTCCTTTATTCTGCTTTTTTTAGATTTGGTTTGAAAATGAACCTTACAGGATGTAAACTGGTTGAAGGCTGGATGTAAGTCAGCCCACATAGGGGCTAGTACTCTAGTACTCACGGGACCTTGGGTAGTAGTACTCTTAGTGTTTGAAAGTTGACTTTAGTTAACAAGACATTTTTTTGGACTAACAGCAGAGCAAAGCAAAGGTGAACACACCTGTGCAGCTGGCATTTTAGGAGCTCTGGTCCAGAGGCTCCTGTGATACATGAGGTTGGGATCATGGGACTTAAGTTTCTGAACGTTGTTATAGAGATTATCGTCTTTGTAACATTGAAGAGCATACCAAGGAATGGTTTTCATATACACTAATCTTGGGCTCCTTCTCTCTCCTTGTTTTCCAGGTGTATCATACTTTGTTCTGGCCTCTTGAATGGACAGTCGCCGGCAGAGACAACAATACTTGTTACGCAAAGATAATTTGCAATAAATTCGACAATGTATGTGATATGGTTGGAGGCTAAAATGCAATAATTTGTAAATGTAGCTTTTATGCTAGTATTTGGGTTTTTATAATTTCTTTAAAGATAGCTCTCAGGGCAAGGCAGAAATCCTTCCAACTGTTACCCAGTTAATGTGTTGCAGAGGTTGAACAAGTGACAGATTGTAATTGAGGCTTACCAACACCTTCTCAAAATAATCCTTGAAAGTTGTCTTTTCCCAGAGTTATCTAACTTGGCAGTTTAGAACTAGATGATCTATGAAAAATTTTGGTCATTAACCAATAAAATATAAGGTGTTGTATGTATTTTGTAAATAGACCAAATGTGTGTCAAAGCCTTTAGAGGGAGATGCTTACACAGAGTGAGAACTCCAGTCAGTTAACTAATTCCCAATGAAGCCTTTCATTAAAGAAGAAGCAGTGGGATAGATAGCCCATTGTCGGGGCTTTCTGCCTTCCCCGTTATTGAGAGAGTGTGAAATTGGTGACAGACTCCCTCATTATCATAGTGTAAAGCACAGCTTATTTATGTCTTGTTTATGAAGAACACTGAGTGTGGAAAACAATGTTAGGACTTAGTTCCTCCCTTTTTAAGAATTTATAATCTATCTGGGGAGATAAACATATAATTAGATAAATATGAACAGCAACAGCTGACATTTATTAGATAAATATGAACAGGAACAGCTGACATTTATATAAAGTTTACAAAGTAACACAGCCATTATCTTGTTTAATTCTCACGTCTCTGTATTCATCTTATTCTCAGTATAACAGAAAACGGTGTTACAGGCTCATGGCCAACTAGCATATGCCCCATTGCCTGAATGGCGAAGGCACTGGCTCTCTAGGACTTAGGCCCTTGGCAGTTGCACAGGTCTACAGAGCAGTGACGGGGATATTGATCAGAATGCCCCTGAAATGCCACAGAGCTGTGACAGGTTCACAGCTGTGCTCCTGAGGGTGATGGTGGTGGTGTGTAGTGTTGTTCTGACTCCTTGGAAGTGAGTAACCTGAGGTTACTATCATGACAGTTGTGGGCGGCCTTTCCAAAGGGAGCAGGTGGAGCCTGCATGCACTGCTGGTCCTGCATGCACTGCTGTCCCTGCATGCACTGCTGTCCCTGAAGTGAGCAGGAGTGGGGGTTGGTTGGTAGAGCCACTGCTGAAGCCAAGATTCACAGCCTTCATTTTATTTCTGACCTCTTGACAGAGGTGTTGACTGGCTTTCGGGCTTGAGGCAGAATTTCAGTCTGTTTACCCACTTTGCCCACCTGCTCTATCCCTTGTCACTCCCTCCACTCACCCTCAGCTGCCCCCCACAGTCCCCAGTTTGCCCTCACACTTGCTTGCTGTCCACGGCGGAGCTTGCCCCTTTCTTTTACGCCTGTCCCAATGTCTATTTCTAGAGTATCACCCTAGTACTTATGAAAGGGAAATATTTTACTGTCCTATATGGTAACAATTTGTGAATGAGGTTCTTCCACTCACGGAACCTGCCTTCATTTTCTTTAGTAAGTGAGCTTTTCATCAGATGTCCTTACTCTCTCGGGCTGCCCCCCTTTTCCCACTTGGCTATATGATGCACCTCGGAGATTTCAATTCAGTAGCCTTCTGTGGGGCCCTGGGAACTCCCCTCTTTGCCCACAGCCCCCGTGGCCTCTGCCTGCCCTCAGAACCTGCTCACAGAGCTCTCCATTTGAGCACCTGCGGGTAGATGTGCATGAAGTGGCTGCTGTGAACTTTGTTCTTTCTCCAGAGTGTAGGTAGGCAGAGATTTCTGCCAGCCCGAGGCCTCTTCTGCCCTTTTACATTCTCTCTTTATCTGTTGTACACTTTTACTATTGAAGATGAAAATGAAGAATAGAGTCTGACGTAAAAACATTGACAAAAGGACAGCCTAAAATGCAGTGTCACCTTGGAAATACACTGAATCTAGCTTCCTTTCTCGGTGGGTCTGCTCAGCACGTGCACCTCGCACCTCCCAACATGCAGTCCTAGGGAAAAGCCCCGCGCTGGGCGCTCCTTGTTCTCTGCTTAGTTACGTTAGGAGCCGGGCCAGGAACCACTGCAATTCCAGTAAAACCTGCTGCCTTAGAATTATTCCAGTGTTGGACTTTAATTCAGATTAATTATGTTGTTGTTGAGCACTATCTCAGCATAATTTGGAAACTTACATCATACTAATGAACTCCTTCGTGCAGTGGGTAAATGGCTTGTTCTAGTAAATTTGAGTGCAAATTAACTCAGGATGTGCATTTACTGGCTCATTTAACAGATTCTCACAGTGGCTCGGTTTCATGGTAATGTTCTCTGCTCAGTTCAACATAAGTTCTTTTTCTGTAGTAGATGCTGTAAATTTTAACTGTGTACTTGCAGTGAAGAGATTCCTATTCAGACCATTAACCTACTGGGCTTCCCCTTGTTTTGTTTCCATATTAAAGGATCGGGTGATAGGATTTCATATTCTTGGACCGAATGCCGGTGAGGTTACCCAAGGATTTGCAGCTGCAATGAAATGTGGGCTCACAAAGCAGCTGCTCGATGACACCATTGGAATTCACCCCACATGTGGTGAGGTGTGGAAACGGGGCTTTTTAAAAATTGACTTCAGTTGATGTAGTTTGAAAACCTATTATAATGCACATTGTCAGAAAGATTTTGTATTAGTAACTACTTTGGGATAATGTAGATTGTGATATTCAGAATGTGTTTTCTTAAAGCAATACTGAAATATTGATGGCTAGATATAAGTGTGTTTTGTTGTCTTCTTTCTGAACAGGTGTTCACAACGTTGGAAATCACAAAGTCCTCGGGACTGGACATCACGCAGGAAGGCTGCTGAGGCTAGTCCCGCTGCTGCTTGCTTTCCTTGTCCTGTTCCCGTTTCTTTCTTCTCGTCTCAGAGGAGGCGGGTCTGTGCTCATGGCGCCTGCTCTGTGGTGCAGGGACAGCGCAGGGCTTTCCCTCACAGAGGGAGACCAGCCAGTAGATGAGGAGACAGGACAGCAGCGGGCATCTGCTCAGCAGGCTCCTGACTGGCAGAGGCAGTTACACTGCTTCCTTGACGTTGTAGCTCGGAACCCCATCACGAGGGGAGCTAAGACCGACGCTCTTCCAAGTCAGAATTGAGCTTCCATCTGAAAGACCTTGTCATCGCACAGCTAATCTAAGTTAACTCTTCTGGTTGCTAGTGTTTTTATTCCCTTGCTTTGTTGTTCCTATGAAAATATTTTCTGTTATGAAACTGACTATAAAGTGGTGATCTTCCCGTGTGTGGGCCTGGAATTTGCACGTGGTCGCTGGTGAGTGCTGTCTGTGGAAATGCCCTCAAGTAGCTGGCTGCAGAGGTCAGGGTGCGTTAGTAGAAAGCTGCGCTCACTGTATAGAGTTTAGTTAGCTGTCTTCTCCTTTGAGTACAGTTTTACCCACAGTCAGAAACCTGCCTCACCCCTCAGCCGCTCCTGGTTTCCCGATGGTCGCCACCCTGGAGCCGTTCTCCTCTTACTGTCTCTAGACTGCGTAGGATATCTTCTGTCAGAGAGAGGTGCTTGAATTTCTTTTTCATGTTGATCTTAAGAGTAATATTAAAAAATTTTCAATATTGTATTATGTGAAATCTAATTTAAAACTATTTCAAGTGATTCAGTCCACAGTCTATTTAATTATAGTCAAGTTTAGTAAATGAACACTGATGTTAGGAGAATCCATTTGAATTTACACACAGTATTTCAAGACGAAATACTAGAAATCAAAAAATGAGGAATGCCTTTGATGGGATCATCAGTAGAGTGGACAAGGCCAAGGAAAGAATCAGTGAGCTTGAAGATGGGTTGATAGAAATGTCCCAAACTAAAATGCAAATAGAAGAAGAATGAAAACAAAAACAAAACAACAGAACATCCAAGAACTGTGGGACAATTTGATTTGGGATTTCAACAAAAAGGGATTGGATCTCAGACTTAGCACTGGACTTCCCTCATTATTGCAGACAAGGAAACCCCAAGCAGGGAAGCTCAAGGGGCCTCAGTGGAGTGCCGACTGAGTCAATGGTCTTGGGCTGTGACTGTGGTGGGTCCCTGCTAAACTTCCTTGGAGCATCCACGATTGTCAAAGCTCACAAAAGGTTACTTAGGAAACCTGTTCGTCATACATGCAAAGCTGGGCTTATCAGACTTAGCAAGGGAGAGCACTACCTTGGCAGAGTCTCAGTATCACCTCAAATGGGAGTTAGGAAAGGATACGATTCAGGGGGCTAGGGTTAGTCAAGGGGTGGTTATACGGCGGAGCTTAGTAAGTGGGTCTGGGCAGCAATTGGTCAGAATTTGTAAACTAGCCTAGTTGCTGAAACAGTGTCAGTGGTCTTTGGAATTTGGGATGTATGAGACCATACTGAGCTCCTGTTACTGTAGTGTTCTCTTGCAACATGGGTCTCAAGGAGCTAGTGTTAAAACAGTTCAAGCTTTGAAAATTCGTTGTAGGATGTACTTTAGTACACTTTATATGTTTTTGAGTAATACAGTTTTTCAAGATGTGGTTTGTTTTATTTTCCAATGGAGAACCGTCTAGGCAGGGAGTGACAAGGAGACTTGTTAGGAATTTATTTCAAGAGATCATAAAATACTTATTGACACTTATGCTTCCAACCATGCTGGAATCACGGGGACTAGACTTATCCCTCCATAAGCAAACTGGAGGAAATGTGGAACAACTGCATTCAGACGGAACAACAGACAGTGCACGACTGTGATGCCTGAGAGAAGGGAAACAAATAAGGTGATCCCTACGATTGCCCTAACTTTCTGCATGGAAGTAATTTTCAGACTACAGACACAAGGGAGAACCCAAACAGCCTGGCAATCTTGCTAAGGTGAGATGGAGATTGGAGTTCAGGGAGGTTGAGGCAGCTGGAAGTTGTGGGGGAGACACAGGTGGGAGCTATGCAGAGAAGAGCTCCAGGAATCTGCAACAGGATCTCCTTGAGTCTTTGCTGAATACTAAGCCACACAACCTCAGAGTAAAATTCTGGAAGGTCAGGCAGGAAATGACAGAGTTACAAGTCGAACAATTGCCACAGGTCTCAGAAGGTGAGGAAAAATTCTACCTCTGACCAGCAGAGGAGAGTCCTCAGTAATCCCCCCAATAATTAAGTGGAGACCTCATAAGGAGTCATGATTTAGTGGTAGGGTAGAACTATCCCTGGAAGTCTACTGTAGACCAAACCTAACAAAGTTTAAAAATAGAACTTAATAGGATCAGTATGACCCAGAAGTCTCTGCCTGCAAAGGAAAGCACAACATTCTTTAAAGGAAGACAACAAACAATGTAATAACCATAAGGTCCAATATCCAATCAAAAATTACTAGACGTGCCAAGAAGCAGGAAAATGTGACCCATAACAAGAAGAAAAATCAGTGAATAGAAACAGACACAGAAATTGATTGAAATAACACAAGAGGATATTAAAACCACTATGAAAACTATGTACAAGTATTTAAAGGGAAACATAAACATAATGAAAAAAATGGGAGATATTTAAAAGAACCAAAGTAACTTGTAGAGATGAAAAATACAATACCTGTTTCAGGGAGTCCCATGATCATTAACTAGTTTGGTAATTTGCTGGAAAGACACATAACTCAACATAAAGTTACACTCGTGCCTAAGGTTTATTGCAACAAAGGGTAAAGTGCAGGAACAGAAAAAACAAACAAACCCATAGGAAATGTTACCTCATGTGCAGGCTTTCAAGTCCTTCCTCTCTCAGAGTCGTGTAGGGGTACTTTTCTCTCCAACTGTGAATTGCAAAGATACGTGATATGTCTCCACCCAGAGGAGCCCACTCAAGTCTTGAAGTTCAGAGTTCTTAAGGGGACTTGTCACAGGTGTGTGAGCATCCATGGTGTGGACCCCAAATCATGCACTAAGTGCAAATTGTAAATCTTCATATTTAAACACTTATAGCCTGGTTCATCTTGAGCCACTGCTTGAGGCATATATAACAATGTCATTAACCAGCAATTATGTGAATATTCCAGGAATTTAGTTCTCAGGGCTTGGCTAGAGATCACTGTTCTGGCTATAGAGTTAAGTAAGAGTGAGTAAAATAGGCCTACTTCATTAACCATTTACTCATAATACCAGAAAAGAATACTTCATTGGATAAAATCAGCAGATTTGACACTATAGAAGAAAAAATTAATGAATTAAAGACATAACAATAGAAACTATCCAAAGTAAAAGACAGAAAAGAGACTGAAAAATATTAAAAGAACTTAGACTCAGTGAACTCTAGAACAACATCAAATAGTTAAACATGTATAATTAGAGTCTCAGACAGGGAAAGGAGGCGAGGGACAAAAAAATATTTTGAGAATTTTATAAATCTGATGAAAACTATAAGCCCACAGATCCAAGCTTCATAAATGGAAAACCTCACACTAAAGACCTGTTTATCTGTTGTTTTAACCCAGTACATCATGCCTGGCTTTCAACAAAAAATTACAAGCCATCCTCTTCAAAGTTTGAAGAGACAGAGCAAGCACCAGAATCAAACTCAGATGTGGCAGAGATGTTGGAATTACCACACCAGGAATTTAAAATGACTATGATTAATATGCTAAGGGCTCTAATGGAAAAAGTGGATAACATGAAACAACAGATGGGTAATATAAGCAGAGAGATGGAAACTCTGTGAATCAAGACGAAATACTAGAAATCAAAAAATGAGGAATGCCTTTGATGGGATCATCAGTAGAGTGGACAAGGCCAAGGAAAGAATCAGTGAGCTTGAAGATGGGTTGATAGAAATGTCCCAAACTAAAATGCAAATAGAAGAAGAATGAAAACAAAAACAAAACAACAGAACATCCAAGAACTGTGGGACAATTTGGAAAGGTATAACATATGTGTAATTTAATACCAGGAAGAAAAGAAAGTGAGAATGGAGCAGAAGAAACATTTGAAGGAATAATGGCTGAAAACTTTCCAAAATTAGTTACTGACACCAAACCACAGATCTAGGAAGCGCAGAGAATATCAAGAAGGATAAGTACCCCAAAAAACGACACCTAGGCATATCATATTCAAACAGTAGGAAATCAAAGACAAGGAGAAAATCTCAAAAAAAGCTGGGTGGGGTAGGGGGGCCTCATCTATAGAGGAACAAGGATAAGAATTACAGCAGACTCTTTGTCAGAAACCATGAAAGCAAGAGGAGAGTGAAGTGAAATATTTTACATGTTGAAAGAAAAACCAACCTAAACTTCCATATCTCTTGAAATTATTCTTCAAATATGAAGAAGTAAAGACTTTCTCAGACAATGTGAATCAATTTAGTGTTATTTAAAAGTTAAAAATCTGTATTGGAAACCCTCGCGCAATCACTAAATTTCAAAAAGTGGTATAATTAACATGCAAAGAGAGGAGCTAAAATGGAATCATATAAAATGCTCAGTCAAAACCAGAGACAACAGAAAAAGGGGGCAAAAAGCAACAGAATGGATGCAACAAGAAGAAAACAGTTACTAACATGGTGGATATTAATCCAAGTATATCAATAATCACTAAAACTGTGAATCAAAAAATGTCCATTTTTTGATGTATGCTAATGGCTTCTAAGCCTTACCCCTCCATCTTTCCCTTCCGTTCACATCTGGGCAAGCTGATGAGAAAGCCCAGGTGTTCTCTTTGTTGCCATTGGGAAGTTCAAATCATGCAAGTCCCAGCCCATGCATGGGAATCCTCTCCTCAGTTCACAACCTAACCCTAATACCTCATACCCTTTTGAGCTGTATTCAAAGTCATCAGTCTCAACAACTGAACCACATTTTGGGTGGAGGTTCATCCTGTCTCTCTGAGGTAGCCATCCCCATAATTGGTGCAGCAAGCAGAGTGTCTAGACAGTGATGACAGCCACTGGGGAGTTTGTTTGCTTTGGCTTGCTAACTGGCTTTGTTATCTACTGGTGAGCATGTGCTTTGAGCTCTTGCTTGCTTGTAAGCTGCACGTTGAGCTGTGCTGCTTTGTGATGCATTTGCTTAGTTCTACCTAGCCTCTGTTAAAGGTTTAACTGACCTAAGTCAGAAGTTCTGATAATTGGAATTTAGGGACAAGAGTATGGGAGTGGGACTCTCCTTAAAGCAGATCTGGATCTGTGTATTTCAGATTAAATCATATGTCTCACGCATAAGCCATAACTGAAGCTAGACTCAGGCGAATGACTCTTAACTTGTGACCATTGGTTGTGTGTCTCAAGCAGGCGTTAGCCCCCATTCTATAGAGCGCTCAGTGGAAAGACTGATACCTTTTGCAATATATGGGCCCATCGATTGGTTGCTTGTCTGGAGGAAGAGCAGTTACTGTGTGGCATCTGAGGTCACACTCACACACTACAAAATGCATTTGCTGCTGCTGCTTCTCTGCCTCTATTACCAAAAAGGATCTGATCCTCAACATTATAGGAAAAAATCACCCATGGCACACGTGTGGCACAGCCAAGGGGTTAATTCCATCATTGCTACACACGAGGCCCCAACCCTAATGATACTGATTGAGGGTCTTTGGAGGAAGAAGTGTATAAATATGAGCATGATAGGGAGGACCCCATTACTGAAGTATAGCAAGTAACCACCATAAAGAAAGAGAGAGAGGGAAGAAGAGAGGGAGGAAAGAAGGAACCTGAAGGAACCTTCCCTGAAGGGAAGAACAAAACTGAACCAGAGATACAAAATTTGAATCAATTGGAAATCTAAAGTTTACTTAAAAAATATACAACAAAAATATTCAAGGGCATTGATTGGCTTTTTTCTTTTACCATTTTCACCATTTTAAGTGTGTAATTCAGTGGCATTAAGTATATTCACAGTGCTGTGCAACCATCACCACTACTCATTTACAGAACTTTTTCATCTTCCCAACCAGAAACTTTGTACCCAAAAACAATAACTCCCTATTCCCCCTTTCCACCAGCCCCTGATAACCTCTATTCCACTTTCCATCTCTATGAATTTGCCTATTTTAGTACCTCATACAAGTGGAATCATACTATATTTGTCCTTTTGTGTCTGGTTTATGTCATTCAGCATAATGTGTTCAAAGTTCATCATGTTGTAACATGTATCAGAATTTCATTCCTTTTTATGCCTAAATAATATTACATTCTATGGACATACTACATTTTGGTTATCCATTCATCTGTTGATGGACCCTTGAGTTGTTTCCACCTTTTGGCCATTGTGAGTAATGTTGCTATGAACATTGTTGTGCAAGTATCTGTTTGAGTCCCTGCTTTCAGTTATTTTGGGTATATACCTAGGAGTGGAATTGCTAGATCGTATGGTAATCTATGCTTACCCTTTTGAGAAACTGCCAGACTATTTTCCACGATAGCTACGCCATTTTACATTCCCACCAGCAATTCACAAATGTTCCAATTTCTGCACATCCTTACCAGCACATGTTATTTTCTATTTTTTTATAATAGCTATAATGGGTGTGAATTGTTATCTTATTGTGGTATTTACTTGCATTTCCCTAATGACCAAAAAGTCTAATAAGAAAAACATCAGACAAGTTGCAACGAAGTACATTCTACAAAATACCTGATCAGCACTCCTCAAAACTGTCGTGGTCATGAAAAACAAGGAAAGTCTGAGAAACTTTCCCAGCCAAGAGGAGCCACCTAAGGAGACATGACAAGTAAATGTAATGTGATAACCTGGAGGGGATCTTGGAACAGAAAAAGATGTTAGGTAAAAAATAAATCAATCTGAATAAGGTATGGACTTTAGTTTATAATAATGTATCAGTATTGGTTCATGAATTGTAATGTGTACCAGACTAAAAAGGAAACTGAGAGGGTGTATGAGAACCCTGTACTACCTTCTACTTTTCTTTTTTGTAACTCTAAACTGTTCTAAAGTAGAAAGCTTTTTTAACAAAAAAGATCCTACAGACATTAAAAACATAATAGAATATTTTGAACAACTTTATCCCAGTAAATTCAACAACTTAGAGAAAATGGGCAAATACCTGGAAAGACTCAAATTACCAAAACTGATTCTAGAAGAAATAGAAAATCTGAATAGCACTGAAAGAAACAGAATTTATATTTTAAAACTTTCCTACAGTGAACAATCCAGGACCCGTTGGCTTTGCTGTCAAATGCCATCACACATTTAAGGAAGAAAAAACAAATTCTACACACATTTTTCATAAAATAGAAGAGGAGAGAACACTTCTCTACTCATTTTATGAGTCCAGCCTAATACCAGCTTGCTGGTACCAAGCACTGACCAAGATTTTGAAAGAAGAGATAACTATAGACCAATATCACTCATGAAAGTTGATTCAAACCTTCCTAGGAAAATATTATCAAATTGAATCCAGCAATATATAAAATGGATGATACATCATGACCGAGTTTATCCCAGGAATGCAGAATTGGTTCAACATATGAAAAAAGAAAACAATATAGTTATCTCAGTAGATGCAGAAGACAAAATTTAATTCCTATTTATGATATAAACTCTCAGCAAACTAGGAACAGAATAAAACATCCTCAATCTAAAAAGGACATCTACAAAGATAAACTACAGCTAACATCATACTTAATGGTGTAAGATGATTGAGAACATGGCAAGGATGCCAGCTTTCACCATTTATATTCAGCATAGTAGTGGAGGTCCTAGGCAGTGCAAAAAAGCAAGAAACATAAATAAAAAGCAAACAAATTTGAAAGGAAGACATAAACTGTCTTTATTTGAAGATGACATGATTGTGTATATAGAAAATCCTAAGAAATTTACCAAAAAAACTATTAGAACTTCTAGGTGAATTTAAGAAGTTAAACAATAAAAAGTCAATATACTAAATCAATAGCATTTATAAGCACTAGCAACAAACTATTGTGAATTGAAAATAATATTATAACAGCATATAAATATGAAATGTTTAGGAATAGATTTAACAAAATATATAAAATGTTAAGACCTGTATACTGAAACTATAAAGCATTGTCGAGAGAAATTAAAAACCTAAATAAATAGAAAGATACCATTTTCATAGATTAGAAGAGTCAGTATTGTTAAGTCATTCCTTTCTCCTCAAATTAATTTTTAGATTCCCTGCAACCACAATCAAAATCTCAGCAGGCAAGAAATCCTCTCAATTTTCTTTCATCTGAGAATGTCTATTTCGTCTCCATTCCTAATGGATATTTTTGCTGGATATAGAATTCTGGGTTAACAGTTCTTTTCTGTCAGCATTAGAAAAAGTTCTGTGCCAATTCCTTTTGGCTTCCATGGTTTCAAATGAAAAATCTGCCATAATTTGAATTGTTCCTCCATAGGTAATGTGTTGATTTTCTCTAGCTGCTTTTAAGATTCTTTCTTTTGTCTTTAGTTTTTAGCAGTCTGAGTATGAGACATTTAGATATGGATTTTTGGGGGGCGTTTAACCTGTTTGGAGTTCACAGAATTTCTTGACTCTGTATGTTTATATCTTTTATCAAATTTGGGAAGTTTTCAACCATTATTTCTTCAAATATATTTTCATCCCTGCGCTCATTCTCCTCTCTTCTGGGGTTCTGAAAACACAAATATTAGATCTTTTATTATTGTCCCACAGTTCCCTGGGGCTCTGTTCATCTTTTTAAATCTTTTATTTTTTCCTCTCAGTTGTTTAGATTGGACAATTTCTGTTGATCTCTCTTCAAGTTTACAGACTCTTTTCTTTGTCATACTCATTTTGCTATTGAGTCCAATAAATTTTTATTTTGGCATATTTCAGTTCTAAAATTTCCATTTTTTAATGTCTTCTATTACTTTCCTGAGAATTTTTTTTGTGTGAGTGTGAGGAATATTCGCCCTGAGCTAACGTCCAATGCGAATCCTCCTCTTTTTGCTGAGGAAGATCAGCCCTGGGCTAACATCCGTGCCCACCTTCCTCTACTTTATATTATATGGGACACCACCAGAGCAGGGCTTGACAAGCGGTGCGTTGGTCCGCACCTGGGATCTGAACCTGCGAACCCCAGGCTGCTGAAGTGGAGCATGCGCACTTACCTGCTACGCCACCGGGCTGGCCTCTTCTGAGAATTTTTTTTTATCTTTTTATTCATTTCAAGAGTGTTTTCTCTTACTTGTTGGAGCATATTTTTAAATTGATGTCGTAATAGTTTATAACATCATGAAGTTCCAGTTGTACATTATTATTTGTCAGTCACCATATAAATGTGCCCCTTCACCCCTCATGCCCACCCCCCAGCTCCCTTCCCCCAATAACCACCAAACTGTTCTCTCTGTCTGTGTGTTAGTTTATATTGGTTGGAGCATTTTTATAAGAGTTGTTTTAACATCTTTGTCAGCTAATACCACTATCTTTGTTATCTAGCATAGGCATCTATTCATTGTCTTTTCTCATGCAAATACAGATTTTCCTGGTTTTTCATATACTGAGTTATTTTGTATTGTATCCCAGACATTTTAAGTATTGTTTCTTGAGCTTGTTTAAATCTTACAGAGAAGATCGACATTTTTGTTTCATTAGGCAATTCACCTAATTGGGTTCAGTCTGCCTGTTTGAACCAGCATTCTGTGTTGTGGTTTCAACATCAGTTCCTTTCCCAATTCTCCTGCTACTATTTACTTTCCAGAAGCCTCATATTGCTACTCTGCATTCTGTCCAGGTTTTATAGCTGCATTCAGTGGCAGGGATGTGGTGTGGGCTAGCTTTTTCTTGCCTAGAACTGGAAATTTCCTGCAGTCTTTCTTTAAAAATAAATTATGAAAAACTGAATTTAAGATTTATATGAAGATGCAGTGGATTTCTAGATAGCTTAAACTGTCTTGGAAAATAATGGTTGGAGGACTTACATGACTTCATTTCTTCACTTACTATAAAGCTGCAGTAATTAAGACAGGGTGGTATTGGAATAAAGATACATAAATAGATCAATGGAAAAGAGCAGAGTCCAGAAATAGACCCCTAAATATTGGTTAACTGATTTTTGACAAATGTACCAAGGTAAATCAATGGGGTAGTGATCATCTTTTCAACAAAATGAAAGGTGTTGCTGGAATGATAGGGCATAAGGAAAAAAGATGAACTGTGACTCTTTCCTCAAATCAAGAGCAAAAATGAACCGAAATGGATTGTAGTAAATGCTAAAACTGTAAAACTTCTAGCAGAAATCATAGGAGAAAACCTTCATTATCTTGGGGTAGACAAAGATTTCCTAGCTTACAAAAAGTATGAACCGTAAAAGAAAATAATAATCAATTGTACTTCATCAAAATTAAAAATCTCTTTGAAAGATAGCATTTAGAAAATGCAAAGGTGGGCCGGCTCCGTGGCTTAGCGGTTAAGTGCGCGCGCTCTGATGCTGGAGGCCCGGGTTCGGATCCCGGGCGCGCCCCGAGGCACCACTTCTCCGTCCAACCCGGGGCCGAGTCCCACGTACAGCAACTAGAAGGATGCGGACCTATGACGTACAACTATCTACTGGGGCTTTGGGGGGAAAAAAATGAATAAATAAAATCTTTTAAAAAAAAAAAAAAAAAGAAAATGCAAAGGTAAGCCACAGATTAGGAGAAAAATACTTAAAATTCATATATCTAGCAAAGGACTTGTACTGAGAATATATAAAGTTTCCTTACAAGTCAATAATAAGAAGAAAAACAACCCAATAAAAATACAGGCCAAAGATTTGAGCAGACAATTCTTCACACTTGGCCGACAAGGTGCACACTTGACCCAAAAAAGTAACATAAAAAGATGCTTTACATCATTGGGTATAGAGAAATGCAAATTGGTGGTGGTGGCTACAGGATTTGGCATGAATTTGTCAATTCATCAATCAGTCATAAGTCAAATATGTGCATTTTATTGTATGTAAATTATACTTCAAAATTGATTTTTATTCAATGCTCAAATACAGTCATGTGCCGCATAAAGAAGTTTTGGTTAACGAAGGACTGCATATTACAACAGTGGTCCTATAAGATTAGTACCAGATAGCCTAGGTATGTAGTAGGCTGTCCCATCTAGGTTTAGTGTAAGTACACTCCATGCTGTTTGCATAACAACAAAATCGCCTAACAACGCATTTCTCAGAATGGAGCCCCGGTGTTAAGCAATGTGTGACTGTATTTATTGAACATTTACTAAATGATAGGCACTGGCTGGGTGAGAAAAATACATATAGCAAGAGGGACCAAGGATGTCTTGAATGTTTCTAGCTAAGGTGGCTGAAAAGAGGATGAATGAAGGATGATAAGAATCCAGGAAGAGGGGCAGGTCTGAGGGGTATGTGTGTGTGTGTGTGATCCTGAGTTGGCATCTGTGCTCAGAATTTGCCCATTAGTAGACTGGTAGTTTTATGAACTCCCCTGATTAGTGTGGCATTGTGTGGCATTAGTACAGACAGCCTGCCTGGGGTTTAACTCTTCAGTCCCAGTGTGACACTGGCCCCTGTGAACGGCATCTAGGAGAGACGTGTGGGATTAGCACCCAGCTCTAGTGGCGGCTTTATTTCTGCTGTTTGCACCACCTGCTCTGAGCTCCTATGGACTAAACCAGGTCACCCAGATTACTTCCTTCCTTCCACTTTCCCCCCAAATTTAAAAGTGATATGCGATTGTCACAATTCAGGGAGCAATGAAATTTGTTTCACTTCTCTTTTGTCAGGCCACCTGCCAAGTAAGTGGAAAAAAAATTAAATTTATTGTGGCTTTATCAAGAAGGAGTTTCTACCTCAGAGGTGAATGCAAGATGACAGCTTTGTACTTGTTTGCTCAGTGATGTAAATCTTGAGGTGAAATCACTGCTGGATGTTAGTGATGCTGTGCAGTTGGAGTGGGC